TTATGAAGAATATTAAGGATATTCAACAACCGATTCTGAAACCTTATCATCCATTTTGCCATTACCAAATAATGATACAAGACAGAAAAGATGGGATGTTAAAATTAAAAGACTTTATGACATCATCTCAAGTTTAAACACACTTCATCAAGAAAAACTTACACATGGTGATCTTCACAGTGGTAATATTTTATATTTTCAATATTTATCCCAGGCAATGATTACAGATTTAGGGTTATCAGGCCCAACTAATCAAAAAATATCAAGTGAAAATGGTATAGTTGGAGTACTGCCATATATTGCACCAGAGGTATTAAATAAGAAACCTTACACCCAAAAGTCTGACATCTATAGCTTTGGGATTTTAATGTCAGAATTATCAACATGTCAACAACCATTCAAGAATAAACCACATGATCTAGATCTTGCTATCAAGATCTGTAGTGGCTTAAGACCTAGTTTTTCAGACGATACTCCAGAATGTTATATTAGGTTAGCATACAAATGCACTGATGCTGATCCTAAAAAAAGACCAACAGCAAATGAAGTTTTAAAAATTATTACTTTTTGGAAAGATGCAGTTACATATAATCATAAGTATTATTTTAAAAAAAATAAATTAAAAGAAATAAGTGAAATATTTGAGGAGGCAAATAAAAAGCTTTTTAACCCTTCAACAACTACTGCAACTGTTCATCCAAATGCTATTTACACAAGTAGATTATTCAATTTTACAAATCTTCCACAACCTGTAAACTCCAATAAAGTTACAATTATCAGTAACAATATTGGTAATCATCATCAATTATTTAATTTTAAAATTCATTTAATACCAGCATTAATATTATTTTTATTATGTTATAAATTATTGCATTTACAGAATATCAAATTGATTTAGATAATATTAATAATGGTAATTATCATTATTTGATTATTGATTTTAAAATTTAACATCAACATGATTATTACATAACAAATTATTATACTTATAGATTTTAATCAAATAGATTTAAATAGTAATAATAATGGTAACCATAATCAATTATTGATTAATTTTAAAATTCAATATTAAATATCATTGTTAACATTATTTTTATTGTGTTATAAATTATCATATTTATAGATTCTAATCAAATGAATTTAGATATTTAGACCTATAAATATATTTCATTCATTTGATTATTGTAGTTTTTTTATTATCATGAGAAGCATTATTTTTATTTTAATGACATGATCAATCACTTTATTTATTTGATATCAACATGATATGTTTTGTCTATCTTATAGTTTCTGAACATAATAAAATTTAATAGGGATACAAATGTATTTCTTCATGCTAGATAATCAATGATATAAGTGATGGTATAAAAATGATGATATATAAATGATGATATAAAAATGAGATAAATAAATACAAATGTATTGTTTGTGATTAGACAAGAATGTTCACTAAATTCTTGATGATATAACTGATGAGATAATAATATATTAATGCATTATTTATTGGGGTGTGAGATGCCCTAATTAAATCAAAATTAGGTGATGTAACATAATGCCAATCAATAACAAACTTTTTTTTAAAAAAATAAGAATATATGTAAAAACTATATAAATAAAAATTGCATCAGAGCCTTCAAATAAAGAGATACAGACATGAAACTAAGGGAAATTATAGTAAATAGATTAAGCTTTTAGATTACAGAGAGTTTTTTTTATATATTCTAAAGAAATTGAAAAAAGATCGCTAATAGAAAAAATTTATAACCAAATGAGGTAGTGAAAAAAGCTCATTGTAACTTTATTTTAGAAGGCTTAAACAATAAAACTATAAAAAGTTTTGTTTAATTTTATTATGTAAAAAAAAAGTTATCATTGTTTAAAGTTATTCAATTTATTATTAAATTTTACCATAAAAATTTACATTGTAACTGATAATTTAATAGAAATTTCTTTTTATAATTCATGTTTTCAAAAAAATATATTGTTAGTTGAATTTTGTTGTCAACATTTACAATGTGTTGAAATATATGATAAAGATACTAAAAAATCCGCACATAATAATTTGTTATATTAATATTGATGTAACATATGTTTGATGACCAACAGCCACAATGTCACACGACTATTTGGTTAGACTGATGGTCTTTGGATTGGACTGGTCAATTTCCGCATAACAAATTTTGATCTTGTATTTACACAAAATGAGTCATTTACTTCGGAGGTTATTATTGCTGGAGATAGTCCCATATTCTGATTCAGCAAAAAAATGAAATGATTTGTTTGTTATAGAGAGTGTTTACTAAGATGTTCATTATAAAAAAATGAAAAGTGAAGTTTCGTTATAGAGAGAAGTTAATATTAATTACAAAAAAATGAATCAGGAATTCGTTATTATTATAAAGATTTTATTTAGTGTTCATTATAGAAAGAGTGAACTGTGGCGACAATCCCTAAAATTTTTTTTTCAATTAGGAAGAAAATGGAAAAAAAGAGACTTCTTCACCTATTGAAATTTCATACTAATGCAATCTTTTCTTTAAGAAAAAACCAGCAGTAAACACTTTTTTTCTCTAAACTAAATTAGACCAGAATTACAATTTTAAATTAAAATGAACAAATTGTTTTTACTACGCACAACAAATTTACAAATATTATAAATTCGACAAATTTATTGCTAAACGTTCCTTGTGGTAGTCCACGGTTTAAAATAAAAAATATATCTCTCTCATTCACAATTGATTTAAAAAATATTCTGCAAAGATTTTTTAATCCAATTTCTACCATAAAAAAGCATCATAAACATGACGTAAAAAAAAATTTTTTTTTTCTTCACTTTCAAATTTCTCTGATACTTTGAATTTTCCGTGGAAAGTAACGATTGCCATAGTTTTAGGTGTGCCATTTTTTGGAGACATTATGTGATTTGTTGATTACATGAAAAGTAGTTAGTTGTTTAAATTTATGCATGCAAAAATATGTATATATTTTATTCTTTTGATTTAATTACAAGACATATAATATATACACTAAATACAATTTTTTTATTACTGTACACAGATGTTATATAATTTATTAATTACATGAAAGGATTTCAAAAGTTAGTTGTTCTAAAAAACCTTTAAATTTATACATACATAATACATATATGTATTCTTTTGATTTAATTGCAAGACATATAATATATATACATTTTTTTATTACTGTACATAGATGTTATATGATTTGTTAATTACATGAAAAAATTTCAAAAGGTTGTACTAAAAAACTCTAAATTTACACACACACACACACACACACACACACACACACATGTATATATATTAATATTTTTCTTATTTATTTGGTTAGTTACAAGTCATATAGTATATACAGTATACAACAAATACAATTTTTTTATTATTGTACATAGATGTTATATTTAATTACATAAAAGGATTCAAAAGGTAGTTAGTTGTTCTAAAGAACTTTTAAATTTATACATGTAACAATAAAAAATAATAATAAATATATATTTAGATAAATAAACTAAAAAAAAAAAATTTATTATATGAAATCTAATCCATTAGGAACTCCTGAAGTGCTGTATCAAACTCAATCTCAGCTTGAAGATTAAATGCCATTTGTAATTCCTCAGGTTCATCAATTTCTAATGGTTGAATTTCGTCTTCAGGATCATCTTCTATTGGAAGATCTTTTTCACTTGTAAGTCTATTAATAATAGATTCTACATATTAATCTGATTTTTATGTATTTTAAACAATATAGACACTTGTGGTCATGATGTTGTAAACAATATTCATGATAAATATGACCACATGGAAGAAGTGTCAACTTTATGAACTGCTGAAAATTTTGATCACTAGAATTTAGGTGAGACTTCATACAAGTATCCTTAAGATGACACTCTATTGATTGGTCAATTGGTGGATAATCTGTACTAAATGCCATTGGTAAATGGTGTTGATCAACAATTATATCAAGGTTGCAAGGTGGCATGGAAATTGGTGATTTATTTTATTTGTTTTATTTGTTTTTGCTTTCTTTGTTTTAGAATTTTGCTTAACATCTTGTCATTTACTTTTTCCTACATTGTTTTTGACTTTAGTGAATAGTTCAAGGAGAAAACAAGATGCCTTGTTTGTTAACCCTATTGAATCTTTTTTGCAATAAGGATCCTTTTTTTTTGGCAACAAATGAACTTCAAAATATATTATCATGGCAAAGATGGTCAATAATATGAGCTTGCTTTTGTAAGTTGTTCATTATTATCTGCTTTTCTAGTTTGCCTTCAGATTAATTTTCAACTGGATAATCATTAAAAGTTACAAGATGCATTTTAAGAGTATCAATAACAGGATGTTTGACGCTTTCCCAATACCATGCATCAAAAAGAAATAATAATGGTGCTTTGTTATAATTTTTTCTTTTAAACTTAGCAAATAAACACCATACTCTCACACAAGCTTCAATATAATTATCCAAAATTTCCTGACCTGAAAGTTGCTGAATAAATATCCAAAACTAGAGGAATTGCATCATCTAAAAGGGCTTTCAATGTAAGATATTCAGCATCTCTTGAACAAATTGGTTCAAGTTTCTCAATAATATATGGTGCAACCTTTCTCCAGCCATCTGACATTATCTGCAACAATTGATTAATTCTCCAAGGGTGAGGATTTTCAGTGAGCTTTTTGCTTGATCCAAAAATAGATTTATAAGCAGAATTAAAAAAGCCATTAAATAGCAAAACAACAGTCTCATGACTGTTGAGTGATACATGCAATGGTCCCCATTATTGGAATAAAAGACCTAACAAATTCTGGAATGATATCCTTTTGTGATGGATGCTGATGCATGACAATTGCTCTTCGAGTATGGATTTGGCCTGACCAGTCAGCAATTAATGGAATAACATTTTTTGGAAATAATGAAAAGATTCAAATACCTTCATGGCTTCAATATATGATTGAGTAGATTTCAACTCTAGATGGATAAATCTATTAGTAATGTGTTTTTAAGCTGCCGTTCCTCCTTTTTTTTTCATGAATCTCAGCATCATAACAATAAGAAATAAGACTACCAAATAAGTCATCTTCAGAAAGAATAAGTTGATTTGCAAATCTATTGTTATATGATTGGGAAAGTAATGACATGTAATGATTTTCTATTCGGAAAATTAAAGAATCACAATCAATGACTAATGGGTTATGTTTAGCATCATTTGGAACAGCTTTTGCTTCAGGTATTGGAATAGCAAGGATGGTTGTCATATGATAAACATCACTAGTAGATGTAGTTGTAGGCATTTGTAAGCCATGAGTATTGTGATAATCATCAACATTTACATTAATTGCATTGTCCTGATAATTTGAGAGCTCTTTAGCAACATTTTCTTTATGAATCAAGGCTATAACATTCCTATTTTCTCTTGATGATGAACTTAATTGGATACTAGAAAAGGTGTTAATGGCTTGGTTTGAAGTATTAGACTGATCTAAAAACATTGCTATATTTTTTCTTATGGTATTAATTTGTTTATTTCTAATCCTTGTAAGAAAGTAATATAAAAAAGATAGGCCTTTTACCACTGCATGATTGTTTGTTCTGTAAGATTCCTATCATTTGGATTACACAGTGAATCTCGATTTAGTGGATCTTGGGGTTTAACAGATAAATTTTCAAAACCAAATTTTTCTATCTTGATTTAACAGATTTTCGTATTAATATATGTCACTTATAATTATAATAATAAGCATATAATAAATAAGTGTATTAATCTTAAATATTAATAACATTTTAATTGAACATATTGTCAACTATTTCTTGGCAACGACACTTATATGTATGTCTCTTTTTTTTTCTTTATAAGCTAATGAAAATCCTTTAAATGCTGACGAATTTATTATGATTGATCAAAACCTTGAATTCGAAGAAATGACAGAACAAGAAATTGTAAACATAGTGTTGGGACAACCTGAAGTTGAAGATAATGAGGGTGGTGATAAGATAAGTGAGCCAATTGTAACAAGTACAGAAGCTATAAATGGGTTGGAAAATGCCCTTAAATATATACAACAAAAAGATTTAGAAGTTGATTCTCGAATAATTAAAAATATATTGAAGTTAAAAAGAGAGATTTCTTATATAAGTGCCCAAGATGCAAAACAATGTCGAATTGATGAATTTATGAATCAACAATGATATTATTATTATTATTATTATTATTATCCATTATATTTTACAAAAATTATTATTTAAATAAAAAATTTTTTTTGTACACATATATTACATGATTTGATCATAAGTTTCGATTTAATGGATCCCTCGGTTTAACGGATAAATTTTCTGGTTAATGTTATGTAATGTAGTGATGAATTAAACAAGATTTTAATAGGTTGCAGCGAGTTTGTGTAATCATCACATTACACAAGCATCAGCATGGAATTTTTTCAGGAATTTAAAATTTAGATACATCATGATTTAATTACATTCAATTTTTTACAAAGAATTTTTTTTTTTACAGTGTTGTTAGTTTTTTTGGTAGTGGCGAAGCATCTTTCTTTTTTCGTTTAATATTTAGTCAGTGTGATGAAGATCATACCATTGATTTATTAAAACATTCCTGTACCATTGATTTTGTTTAAAGTGTTATGCGTTTAGTTCGTTACAATTTACGAATTATCATTTGTCCTGTTTTTTTTTGGATCATACCATTGATTTAGAAAAGCATTATGCGTTTAATTATTTAATTATTTATTTATTATGTTTATCACTAAACATGCTAAAAAACATTTTTTACTATTATTATCATTTGTCCTGTTTTTTTGGATCATTGGTTTGTTTACTTTTAAGAAAAGCATTATTATTATTAAAAATATAGCATTGTGTGTTTAATTCAATCGACAATTGAGTTGATTATTTGTTTCTTACTCAAAATGCTTTGATCATGTCTATATGCTCATTTTGCAAAGCTGGATTGCAAGCTTCGTAAATCTTGACTTTAACACTTACTTTGATCAAACCCGCTCATATAATTATTGAATAATTGATAAAACATCCGTTTTGCAAACTCAATTTTCAAGTTCATAGACCTTGACTTTAACACTTACTTCGATCAAACCCGCCTATATGATTATTGAATAATTGATAAAACGTTTATTTTAAAAAATTGATTTACGAACTTCTTGATCTTGTATTTAACACTTACTTTGATTGCACCAATACAGACTATTGAATAATTGACAAACGTTCTGTAATTTTTATTGTGTAATCCTGTGTAATTAAAAAAAAAAAAATTCAATAGAATAGAATTTGTCCAATGAAATGTTGTAAACTGTATATACCCCATGCACAACTTGATGCAAGGCTCATTTTTCCATTACTAGTACTCTCTTGGGGTAAGATATGCAATGGCAACCCATGTGACTCACTTAAATGTGTTATCAAAGTCCAGCAAGTGAGAGAATGGGACCCTTGCTGGTGGCTCATGCTGGGTGTATTGACCTTTCATGACATGACCTCTCTTTTGTCAATTGTTTATTTTACTTAAAATATTTAGAAGGAAACAAAAAAAAGAGATAAAATTCGTTAATTGATTTGATTGGTTACATTTGTAATATATGAAGATCCATCAATTATGAGAAGGCATTATTATTATAGCAACAAGTAGCAAACAACAATGAATCATCATTTTTTGAGGATGATAATAAAAATTAAGATCCGATTTTGTTGCATGAAAATATTCAAGTTTTTCAAAAAAAAAAAATGGGGACGGCCGTCCTATTTATATGTCTTGGATTTAATAAATAGACTACTGTCTTGGCCCGAGTGATGTCATTTTTTTTGCTCTTTGCGGCAAAGAAGATGCAATCCCAAACCCGACTTAAAATAAATGATTTTTGTTCTCGCGTAGAATGGTGTGCATAATTTGTAACATGAAAAGCAAAAGCTCACATTGCGTTCTCAGTTGTGAGCTTGTAATTGTTAACAACAATGAATCATCATTTTTTGGGGATAATAATAAAGATTAAGATCCGATTTTGTTACATGAAAATATCAAATTTTTCAAAAAAAAAGGTGGGGACGGCTGTTCTATTTATATGTCTTGGATTTAATAAAATAGACTACTGTCTTGGCCCGAGTGATGTCGTTTTCTATGAAGAAGATGCAATCCCAAACCCACTTAAAATAAATGAATTTTTGTTCTCGCGTAACATGGTGCGCGTGATTTGTAACACGAAAAACATAAGCTCGCATTGCGTTCTCAGTTGTGAGCTTGTTAACATAAAAAATTACACAATTTTTGATATATGAGGCAAATGATAAACGTATTAACCCTTTTTGTTGAAAAATTCAATAAATATGGAAGGTTATATGCATCAAAACTATTAGCTAGAAATTTATTATGTTAAATATCAAATTAATCGGATTTTGTTACATTTTGTTACATGTGGTATTAAATACAATATAAAACCTTGGTTTATTAGTCGAACAATTCATCAACAATCAATATTTTAATCTCGACCTTTCTTTACTGTTGTTACTAGAAACTAACGTTTATAAATAAAAGATTATTAGTAATAATTAGATAGTGATTTCTGATTAATTTAGTAATAAAAAATTAATTCACCTTTGTTAAAATCAAGAAAAGAGTTAAGGTCAAGATCATTCAATGAACTATCATTACTTGAATAACTTTTTAAGCTTATTGATTTAGCAATTTCTTCATTTAATACTCTACTTTTATGATATGCACCTGGATGTCTACAAGTACCACTACCACTGCTGCTGCTGCTGTTACCATCATTATTAAAAATCATTTTTATTAAACCATTGCCATGATTTTTCAAACTTTCAGTTGTATGAACTTCTTTTGACTTTTTTACAGAAAATTCCCAAAGCTCTTCAGAAGTTGGTCTTTTAGATGGATCCGCATCCCAACATTTCTGCATCATTTGTGCATAATCATCAGGCATTCCTGATAATATTGGTGGTCGTTGACCTTCACATATACCAATAATTAAATGATAATTATGAGCACTATTGTCAAATGGTGGATGACCTGCAAATATTTCCCACATTAACATCCCAACACTATAAATATCTGTTTCTTTTGTGTTCTTTGGATTATTGTTGCCTCTAAGTAGCTCAGGTGCAATGTATGACACAATTCCATAGATCTTTGATGATTTTTCATCAACTGGTCCACATAATCCTAAATCTGTAATATAACCATCACCTCCTTGCAATAATATATTACCACTATGTAAATCACAATGGATTAAATCCTTTTTATGTATATCATTTAATGCATTACATAAATGATAAACAATTTTAATTCTGTCTTTTAATGTTAAATTAGAATGATTTTTTTGTAAATAATCCCTTAAATTTCCATCTTCAAGATAATGAAGAACCATTGCATAATTTCCATTATCTGGGAATTTAGTTATACCATAACAAGGTACAA